GGCCAAGTTGTGGATAATGGTAGTATTTATGTTGACAGTTTTATATTCCCCCCTGGGTTCTATCTGTTTAAAAAAGAAAAGTAAATAGGTATCAAAAAAGTGATACTGTAAATTCAAAACAGGTCAAGAACAGATTTAAGTCCGTTAATTATTTTTTTTTTTTCTGCTCCCCAGACTTTGCTAATTCAGAGCTTGTGACCTGTGATGCACTTGAACCTTGGTTTATAACTTCATTTATGGTAACGAAAGCCAGTTAGAAAATAGCAGTATTCCTTACTGTGCTGTTTCATTTTTTTCCTTCTGCAGTAAGATGAATCCTGGTTTGTTATTCAGCACTGTGGCACAGAACGAGCTGGTGAATGGCTGTTGTGAAATGCAATCTGGAGTGCTTTAGGGTTTTTTCCCAGACATTTAAACTCTGAACTGTTGGATTCTGACTGAATTCAGTTCTTGAAAGGGGGCTTTACAATTTGATTTTTATTTTCCCTCCAGTAAAACAAGCAAAGGGCATGTTTCCTTTGCTGTACTCTCTGTGAAGATTTTTTTCCTGCTTTTTGCTGAGCCTTGAAAATTCAAATAGGCAGAACAGCCTTCCTGTGAATAAATACCTGATTCTGAAATACATTTTGCTATCTAGAGTTTTAAAAAATTGCTTTAAAGAGTTTTTTTGGCCCTCTATGAGATATGTTCCCCAAGTGCCTTCATATCTTGCAGAGTTTTAAAGTATGTTATGCTTTAAAGAGTTGGTATTGGAAGTGATTCTGTAAAAACGTTATTGGCTTTCATGCCACAGGGGTTATTTAATTCTTTCTGCTTTAATTCAGTTTTTTTCTTCCCAGTGGCCCAGCTTTAAACTAAGCCTTGGCCTCTGCAAGTAGAGCTCAGCTGGTCCTGCCCCCTTCCCCGTAGCAGTTCTCTGTACCTGGCAGTGACGGAGCGTATTTCAGCCATCAGTGAAGTCGTCTTTGTGCTAAAAGGCTTGTTTTGGTGCTCCACGGGGGACAGCTTTCTCCTTGAGCCTGGTCCTGCGCGTACTGTGTGACAAGGTCCTGATTTGGCCCTGCTTTCTGCAGGCGTGGGACTAGATGCCCTCTCCAGGCTGAGGACATGTGTCTTGGCTCAGGCGGAGGGAGTGTCAGGTTTGGAGCTTCCCTCTTTGGAGCATGAGCAGGGTTCACCTGCACTGGTTATCTGAACAACGTCTGTCAGGCTTCTCCTGTCTCTGTCTCATTAATACCTGTGATCCCAGAGGTTTGGTTTTTTTGTTTTACCTCTGGATTAATTTTTATTTCAATGATGAAGGAAGCTGTATGTCAGGCACACTTCCAGATGAATTTAGCAAGACTCTTACAAAGAGTCTTACAAAGACTCTCAATCTGCTGGAGGGTAGGAAAGCTCTCCAGAGGGACCTTAACAGGCTGGGTAGATGGACTGAGACCAACGGCATGAGGTTCAACAAGGCCAGGTGCTGGGTCCTACACTTTGGCCACAAAAACCTCATACAGCATTACAGGCTGGGGGAAGAGTGGTTAGAAAGTGGGCAAGCGGGAAAGGACCTGGGGGTGCTGTTTGAACGCCGGCTGAAC